ACCAGACCTATCCCCACAGAATTAAACACTTTACTACTGTTTAATTCTGTGTGGTTTGGGAAGGTTAGGGTTAATCTTTGTCACACAGCATTCACAGTCGGCATATGTATAGTCATTTTTGCATTAGATGTATGCCGGAGAGTGACGTCATGATGACGTCATCGTCTATTTTTTATTGAATTTTGAGTATTTATTTTTCCCCATAGGTTTTGTACACATTTTTCAACAGCCAGAATGGCGTAGATTTTGACTGCTTCAGAAAATGAAACTTGGTTCAAGCAACGACCATCAGCAAAGATGAATATAGAAGCATGACATCACTTAGGCATCGTAATTAGATTTATTATTTAATTTTGAAAATTAAATTTCTCCCATTGACTTTGTACACATTGTAAAAAAGTTTTGCTATAGGGCTTACGCGTTTCCATTGTTATTGGTTGTCGCACATTCTTATTGAGTGATTTCTAGATAATTTGGCTAGGAAGTTGTGCAAAAAATTGTGCAAAATATCGAGGGGAATGAACTCTGAGATTTCATGTCATCAGGCTAATGAAATAAAGTGTCAGTGCAAGCCCACCGGACCTATCACAAACTCCAGATTGTGCCAAGCAGAACGCCGATCCTGGTTGTTTTTTTCAAAATCTAGAAAACTAAGACGCACATTTGATTATGCAAAGCTTTCCCTACTTATAGACGATAAATTATCTTATATCGCTAAAACCTCTGAATATTATTGCTTTGGATGTTTAAAGCACTTTCAAACAGAACAGAGACTCGACAGACATAAAGGAGATTGTCAAGGCATGGACACGACACCTTGCAAAGTCGAATTACCTCAAAAGGGTAAACATATTCCCAAGTTTGAAAACTATAAAAATAAACAAGACACTCTGTTTGTCACAAACGCAGATTTCGAGTCTGTTTTAGAACGACTTCAAACAGAAATATTTAATAGTATTAAATAGTATTAAAATGCAACGTCACAGGCCATGTGGCTACTCTTACGTGGTCGTGCGATGTGACGGTGTATGTACCAGTCGCGAAACACATCGAGGCCAAGATGCAGCCATTCATTTGTACAATCGTTATCTAGAGAAACGAAAACTATTAACAAAACATTTGCTGATCCAACACCTCTCGTTTGGACATCCGAGCTACAGAAACGCCACGACAAATGCAACATCTGCTGGATCTGTGAAAAATCGATTTATCCAATGAGAGAATCGCAGTGTCAGTGTCCTATCTCAGATGAGCCAAAGACAAATGACCAAAAAGCAGCTTTTAGTTTCAAAAACATCGCGGTTTCACAGAGTACAACTGTAATGTGTATGAGCTGTGAGAAACCCTTCAATAAATTTCGCAGTCCGCGATCACTGTCACATCAGGGGTAAGTACAGGGGCCCAGCACATGCCAATTGCAATCTCAAACAACAAATCGTACCTAAACTAATGCCTATTCCGGTGATCTTTAGAGAAATACGACGCGCATCTGATTATGCAAGGTGCTCGCGTTTTTAACGGTAGCAAAGTAAATGTTATCGTCAAAAACACCGAGAATTATGTATCCTCATTTGGCTAACTTAGATTTCTAGACTCGTTTCATTTCATGGCCACTTTGCTCGATCGATTGGTCAAAAACTGTTCCCCGGACGATTTCAAATTACTCTGCAAAAGATTTCCAAACAACACTGACTTGCTTTTAGAGAAAGGCGTTTACCCATACGAGTACAAAGATTCTTTCGATCGATTTGAAGAAACCACCCTACCAACTTGAGACGCGTTTTATGGCTCGTTGAAGCAGCAGACCGTAAGCGAAGAAGAACATTTCCGAGCTCAAGGTATATAGTAAATGTTTAGGTGTCAAAATCTCGGAGACTATCACGATCTCTACGTCGTGTACAGAACTCCGCTTGGGGCCGTTTAACAAGTATTACAACATTGGCCCCGTTTTCACCTTTTTGCCCTGGACTCGTTTAAATTGACTCGTGCGTTTTTGAATTTGATACACGTCGACGCTCCAAGTCGGATCGATTGCTCTTCTAACAGGGCCGCCTTCTTGCTCACCTGGGTAACACAGGTACCAGACAACTGCATCTGAGGGTAGTTCTATCTCTCTTCTCTTGGGAGGCCGGTGCGCTAGGTGCTTGTTTTACCGGATCTAACTTGATAGCTGCTGCAGGCTTTTTATCAATTTGCCTAGTTTTTTCTTCGTTTAGCGCTTTTATAACTGGAGCCAAATGTTCGACCCATTCTACGTTACGTTCACCAACGTTTAACATTTCCTGCATGTATTGATGACCGAACAGCCGTTCAGCAAACGTTCAGTTAAATCCTTCAACAATCCCCTGCGATCGATGAACACCCGGTTCACCCACTTGAATTTCAACTATGTTTTTGACCAACAGCTTTTTAAATTTGCCTTTAAATTCCGATCCAGAATCCACCACGGCAAATTTAAGCCAAGTCAAAGGTGATCTATGGTAAATCCGTTTTATGGCGATAGACACTTGCTCGGCCGTTTTACTGGTCAACAATTCAGCTTCTTTATATCTGGATCCCACGTCGACCACAGTTAACGAGTACTTGTAAGTCTTTTAACTCGGTCCCAGGGTAGATATAGCACGTCCATCTGATGCGCGTAATTCGGTTCGACCGATTCCTGTTGTAAAGTACTGGACCTGGGTACGTATCCAGGGGCAGGTTAATAAATTTGCCCAATGGCTTGCTTTTTTAGCCAGGTTCGAATTATTGACTTGTCTGCACCGGTCTTTTGATGTAAATTATCCACAGCACTTTCACCTTTCCAGTAACTCTCTGGGCTATAAAGCAATTTTGAAAATTCTTTGTCCATTTTAAAATAAAGTTAACTATACCGATACGCCAAAAAAAAAAAAAAAAAAAACGACTAACGCGGTCCCTCCTAGAATCCACACCAACTTTCTGATCTTCCGACAGCACGTAGAAATCTGACAATTCAGGCTCCGGCGGCAAAGGCATCACGTTTTACCGGTCAGATCAGAATAAGCACGCAATGCCTCGTCCACATTGACGAATTTCTGCTGACTCGCGCGCTCTTGTCTCCTGCGCTCATTTAAAAAA